CAGAGTTTAATCTATGACTACGTTGCATGGAATCTAATGCAGTTTTCCGATTGGACGAATCACAATTCTCCCTCACCAGAAAACAGCTCTCTTCAGATACAATGCTGCTTCTTCGGAACCTGACACTGCTTCTTCAGAGTGCACAGCTGACAATGCCGCCCTATTGAGATGATCCTTGTCCTCAAGGATTGAACCGTGGGAAAATTTTACGAATAAAAGAAACATCTTCCCAAGTAGACTAGACTCTTCTGTAGAGAAATTTAACCAATGGATCAGCCATTGAACCACGGGTTCATTGTAATGAGCCCGAAGAATGAGATGGAGATTAGGAACAGCAAAAGGGAAAATCTGATCCTGCCTAGCATCGAGCAGAGGAAGTTCAGAGTTTGGAACTGCATGGTTGCCCAGATGTATTTTGAATTGACTTGCTTGGAAAGCCGGGTGAATAATGGCTGATACCAGTAGGAGCATTTTTTATGCTACCTTGCTCCCGAAGAATGAGATGGCGATCAAGAATAGCAACAAGCAAAATCTGATCTTGCCCAGCATCGAGCAGAGGAAGTTTAGAGTTTGTAACTGCATGGTTACCCAGATATCTTTTGAGTTGACTTACTTGGAGAACCGGGTGAATAGTGGCTGATTCCAGTAGGAGCAGTTTGTATGCTACCTTGCCCCCACTTCAGCTAAAGCTTGGTCCCAGCACAATTAGTCATCATGTAATTGATGGTAAACTCAGGATCAAACAAGACAATCAGTAGTCCTTTGCCAACTCCTGGCCCGTGCACAATTGCATCCTCATCCTCAGACCAACTCCTTCTCCCAACTAAATGCCTTATTTCATATTTCTTTTTTTCATGATCATACACTTCAGGAAAAAGCTTCACAGCACGACTGAGAACCTCTTCTCCAGAAAGATGGCGCATGCTATATCGACCAAGGTTTCCCCAACTATGAATTTTGTCATCCATTTGTTGAGAAATACGTTCACGGGTGCAATCCCGCAACATTATCTTCACAGAGACCTGCAAATCACCAAATCTGGATGTCTCACTGAGCATTAAAGAAGTGCAATGCAGAACTCTTTCGCGGTCGTTGTTCTTCTCATTAACATTTGCTCTGTTATACTTTGATAACACCTCAAAAATGTCCAGAAAGCCAAGGAAGCCAATTGATATGGATGTACTGAAAAATTATCACAAAATTATGAATTTAGTAGAATGTAAGATAATTTGATTACAGTGCTAGATGAAACAAAAAATGTTCTTACATTGATTTACTATATTTGCACTTATATGGTAGACAAATTTGTTTGAAGAACGTAGGGATGGGCGTGTCATCGAATCTGAACCACTCCGAATATGGGTCTCCACTAGGGTTGAACGCGACGAAATACATGTCAGTTTCACGGAAGAGGAGCAAGATCTTTCCTTTTTTGGTCTGCACTAATTGCACAATGTGAAACGTATACATTTCCTCTGGAATGTTCGAGGAGGAAAGCAGCATAGGCGGTGTCACTGGTGCACCAAGTATTTTGGTAGAACATACACTTGAAATTCTCTTAAACCTTTGCATGATCAATCTGTGAAAGGACCTGTCTTCAGCATCTACGCCAATGGTAAATACAGGAACGTCCTGCACATGAATTTGAGCTATCCAGATAAATAACAGGTACTTAAACACGACCTTTTAATGCTATCAAAACTACCATAAGTTCTATAAGTGGTTTCATGTACGTAGACAGTATAAATGTTGGCAATTGGCATATGCCCCACTGCCCTCAACGGTAATCGAATGGACAGTTGTGTGCTGCAAATGCATTAGCAATTGGATGTTTCTGTGGCCTTTGGCTTTGCTAAGGAAGAACCCACAGAGAACTGAACATTGTTCATGAAACAGATAAGAAAGGCTATAGGGACTGACTCTGACATGACAATAAGCACAGATTCATACATGGGGCTGAAATGCAGTTATAAAAGTGTTTCCTTTAGCATAACATAGCGAGTGTTTCTTTGTTAAAAGACACCACGCCCTGAGCAAAAAGCCTACACGAAAGATAAGTTCATAGCACATGAAGAAAATTTTGGATCGATAATAACCAGATGTATGAGACTACCTTGAGCAGGATCTTTTTCGCGAACATGCGCCGTAGCGCAAGTTTTTCATTAAGAGGAAAGGAATTTGTTACAACATACGTATGGTCTAGCCATACACAGTGATGCAAGGTGCAGACCGAGCATTGCTAGAACCAGTAACCAGCTTATGTTAGGGATTATACAATCATTAGTTTTGCGACTTATGAAGCAGAGCAAGGCACTACACCGATACTGCAGCCAGCAGAATTGCCAACGACCTGTAACCTGCCTGCAGCCAGGCACCTGCTTCCTCGAGGAGATCCTCCATTAGCTGTTGCGGCCGCCTGGACAAACCATGAAACACTCTCTGATTGCGCTCGCCCCAGATGATCCAAGCAGTGAACACAACTACTGAATCAAAGCCTTTCCTGATCTCCACACCCTGCTCCAGTCGACGCTGCAGCCACCAGGCGACGAGCGAAGCATCCACCGAGCACCGAAGTGGCGGCGTTGTTAATCTCAGCTGACCTAGCAGCCTCGTCCACAGCTCCCTCGAATAGACGCATCCAACACCATGGGCAGGATCAACCCCTAATCGCTCTGTTCGTGGCGCCAACCCACCAGCCTCTCCCAGCACGCCCCCACGCGCTCCACCGAGCTCGGATGGAGCCGAGCGGGGTGCCGGCGGAACCAGACGACAACGCTGACGGCGCCGAAGTAAGCCGGCGAGGGCGACGGCACCATCAACAACGCCACTACCTCTGCTGCTGCACACTTCTTCCCTAGGCCAGATTCGCTAGTGTTGGAGCTGTGCGCGAGCGCGGGGCCTCCCCTTGGGTCGAGCCAATGCTGGAGGAGTTCGCTGCCTCGCTCGTCATGAGTCAGCCAGTAGGAGCACCAGCGTCGGGGGTGCCTGCCTTCTACGGCATCCACCTCTCATGAAGTTGAAGCATGGTTGGTGGATAGACGAAGGTTGTCCAGTGGACGACGGACTCATCTCCATTGTCGCCTATGTAGGGGCAGCCACACATCATGCCACCTCGAGGGGACAACACAATGCCATGGATGCCGAGGTGGGCCCAGAAAGCCCTAGCGCCATCCCCCAGGAGCGGATGCGGCCACTCCTCCCCGGTCAGCCGAAGGCGGGAGCTCTGTCGCCAGGGGCTAAAGCGATTCACCGACAAGATCCTGCGTAAGATGCCATTGCCACTGCTCCCTCAGCCGACTATGGAGGCACAACCAAAGTTGGCGACCCGTAGCAGGAGGTCGCTGCCTAGGCTCTTTCACACGTCTCGGTTTCTAAGCGGGGAGAGGTGCTGGTGATGAAGTGGATGGGGTTGCTCAATAGACAGACAACCACAGCAGCCAAGAACGCCTATGACAGTATCTTCGTCGACCAGCTCAATCCCTATGCTGAGGCAATGCGATAGCTCTTCCCTAACTCACAACGAGAGCGGCGCGAGGCGCCATGCAAGCAAGCGCGTCTGGCCGCTGATGTTGGCTAGGTAGCATGATTAGCGAGTAATGGTCCATGATCTCCTTCTGCTAGGGATGGCAGAGCCGATTGTATAACACTATCCCCTAGTGTGTTATGTCTGTGGCGCGTCGTTATAACTTTCATTATTTCTCGATCTTAATACAAAAATGTCAACATTTTGCATGTGTATTCACGAAAAAAAAGTTATTATGATAAGTTGTTTAAGGGAAGTAGACATACTTCTAATTCTAATAATAGCCACGTTAGCACCGCGCCATAAGACGCGAAGGACACCGGTGATTATCAAAGTTCAGTACATTCGAAGATCGAAACAAACTAATCATCAGGAAAAGAAATTACGACGGCATACACCAGCGAGGCAGCTAACACTGAACATCAAGGACTCAAGAAACAAGCATATCGTAGAGCAGAGAGCACAGGCCCACTGGCAAGTCAAGCAATGGGAGGCTACAGCTGAATGGTGACACCTCTTGCAGCCATGCTGGTCAGTCGCTGCTCCACCGTGTCCTCCCTTGGGGCTCCGGAGGCACCGCCGATCCTCGTCGTCACCGGGCGCGTCACGTCGAACTTCTCGTGGTCGCCCCAGAGCGCGTAGGCCTCCTCGCCGTGCGCCGCGTCGTCGCCGATCATGAGCTGGTCGGAGCGGAATGAAGAGGCCGATGCACAGGAGGATGGCGCTGGTGACCACCAGGTTCCAGACGGTGACGAAGAGCGCGCCACCGAGCTGCTTGCCCATCTGCGCGATGCCGCCGCCGTAGAAGACGCCGCTCGCGCTCGGGACGGGGGAGTCGAGGGCGCAGAGCTCCGGGGTGGCGAGGAGGCCCGTGAGGACGCCCCCGAGCACGCCCTCGATGGCATGGGTGTGGAACACGGCCAGGGTGTTGTCGACCTTCATGAGCAGGGAGGATTTCTTGTGCAGGATCATCATCGTGAACCACGGGACGCCGACCACGTGTGCACCAGCCCTGCGCCATGCAAACCAACATGGCACCATCATGTATTCATGCACATGTGTTGCTCGGTGAACCCATGACGTTACGTTGTTTCGAGATGAAATCGAGAGGCTCGTTACCTGCGCCAGGCGTGATGCAGACAAGCCCAGTCATCATGCCCTGCACTGCGCCGATCACCGAGGGCTTGCCGAAGAAGATGACGTCGAGGCAGGTCCAGGTCAGGAGGCTCGTCGCGGCGCTAACGTTGGTGTTGAGCACGGCGACAGACACGGTTATGTTGGGGGCGTACGGCGCACCACCGTTGAAGCCGGCCCAGCCGAGCCAGAGCAGCCCGCCGCCGGCGATCATGAGAAGGATATTGTTCGGCGAGAACCTCTCCCTATCGCTCTTCAGTCTCGGGCCTACCTGTCAGTATGACGTTGTTATTGTGGTACAGATATGCTACTAGTACGTGTCTACCGTCTACGTGAGGTTTACCCAGTATGCGGCGGTGAAGCATGCAATGCCGGAGGAGAGGTGGATGACGTATCCGCCGGAGTAGTCGATGACGCCCCACTGGTAGAGGAAGCCGCCGCCCCAGAGGCTGAACGCACCGACGGTGTAGGAGAAGAGCAGCCACAGCGGCGTGAATGCCATCCACGCTCTGATGTTCATGAGTCCGAGGAGCGATCCAGCGAGCAGCACCAGCGTGATGGCCGCGAACTCGAACTCGAACAGCACCAGCGACGCCTGCGCGTAGTATGGCTCGGTGCGCGGCGTCTCCAGCACGCCGCCGCGGCCGTAGGGCGCCGTGGCCGGGAAGATGGCGCGGCGCACAAGAAAGTCCTGCGTCAGCGCTGGCCCCGCCTTAGCCCAGAACGGGAGCATGCGCTTGCCGAACGCCATGCGGAAGCCGACGAGCACCCAGATGATGAGCGTGGACGCGTACGCGTACAGCGCCATGAAGGCGGAGTTGACGGCCCACTTCTTGACGATGCTGCCGTAGAGCACGACCTGCCCCGGCATGGACTGGAGGTCGATGAACGTGGCCGCCACCAGCTGCCACGCGTTGTCTTCCTTGTTCAGCCACGCCGGCACCGCCGGGAGGTCGGGCATGTACGTCCCGGACTCCGGTGGCGACGCCATTCCGGTGGACGCGACGTGCGTTTGGCTTAGTGTTGAGGGAGGAGTACGTGAACAACGGCGCGCGAAGTGGCTGATAACTGGAGATGGGCGTTTTAATAGCCATCGGTTCCAAGCTGAGATGGGAAATTTTGGGCTAATCTAGTGCAGGTTGAGTTTGATAAAGTTTGGGGCAACTCGGAGGCGAGCTCGCGAGACGTGATGCGCGCTCGAATCGACGCGTGGTGGGGACGAAATGTGGGGAACCGCAACCGGTTCCTGGTCAAACTCGGCAACTCTAACGCGGACCCTTTTCTTCCCCAAAAGGCTTCGTTCGCTTGAGCTAAGACGTTGCTGCTGCAGCTAGCAGCTGCTGCTACAGTGATGTACTGAAAGACATTGCAACCGTAGCTGTAGCAAAAGCTTTAGGCCTTAACCAGGTACCAGTCGGGGAGATGCAATTGGAGTCGCGACTCTGAAGTCTGAAGATTAGTACAGGTTGGAGACGCAGTGTTGGAATATTCAGTATATATATTCCACGTTCATTCGTTCAAAGATCATCAGTATGGAGGCCTCATCTTTTTATCGTAAAAAAGCATCGGAGGCTGTGTACTTGTGTTAGGGTGAGCATGAAGAAACAGCCAGGGATTAGTCTCATCCGGCACATGATGCCACCATTCTGTTTTTTGTAACCACAACTTGGATTAGGATTATGTAACTACATACTCAATAGGTAATGATTTGATCCGCGATCAAAAAAAGAAGTATGTGAATGTAAAATCCCAACAAGCCAACATGGAGATCTTAATTGATTAGCCAGTTTACTGAAATGCTGGGAGCCATGTCTACCTCCGGTACAGCATCCCCGGATTAACAACCTACCAAGTTGAGATCAACTCCTCAGTCATACGCATAAGGCCTTGTTTGAATGTATGTGTATATAATTTAATCCATATGTGTTGGAGTAGAATGTAATGTAACTTAATTTAATTCCACTCTAATCCACTTCAACACATATGGATTAAGATGAATACATGCGCATCCAAACAGCCCTAAGGGAACTGATCCCACCCATTAATATTTTGCCGCATGTATTTTTTAAACATTTCTTGAATCTTAAGATGATTTCAGACAACACTCTTGTACTACCAACTAGTATAAATGAATTGTCACTTTTTTGATTTGCTATTTGTCTTTGTGTCATAACATATCAAATTTTTGTCCTTATCTCACTATAAAAATAATTGTAGATTGTTAAATTATTTTTGTGCCAACACATATCAAATTTATCAGGTTTATGGTTTTGTCTGACTGCTTTTTCATTCTAGGAACAAAAAATTATAGATTGTGTCTACAGATATTGCAGTGAACTAAACTGTAATTTTTTAGTCAATAATCGTCGTCTGGATGAAAATTTTTCAGGCACCTGAAATTTATCAAAAGCCGGCTTTGTTTCCTCGTGGGGCCTCCTTTTCTCCTTTCCTTTGTGGGCCTGGTCGCGCGGCCCGCGCCCGCACCACAAACCGCCGCCGCCCGTTCGCTCGCCGAGCCCCTCTGCGCCGTCGCACCGCCCTCACCGTGCCCCGGGCGCGCCCTGCTCCGGCCACCGGCCGCCGGCAGCCACCCGTGCCTCTTCACGCGGTCGTGCGCTCATGAGCGGTCGTCGTCCTCCTCGGCTCCGGTATCTCTGCGGCGCCACCTTGCTGCTGCAGCTCCCCTCTAGGGTTTGTGCTCCCCATGCAGCTTCTTTATCTCGTTCAAATTCAAATAATTCCTGAACCCTGTCTCGGCACTCTGTTCTTCCTGCAGTGACTCGTGTGCTTTTTGTTGCTCATCCCTGTGCCGTTCTTCCTGCAGTGACTCGTGTGCGTGCTTGCTGTTGCTCATCCCTGTGCCGTGCTCTTCCTCTTGGTAAGATAGCTATGCCCCTCGTTTCAATTCTTAAACAAATTGCTTGCTGTCTAGGATATTCGAAATCGAGCACCCAAACCCTAGCTTAAGCTATTTGTATTCAGATATGATCTAATCCAATTACTTAAGGGCTTGTTTGGATGCCCATGTATTTACCTCAACCCACATGTGTTGAAGTGGAGATTAAACTAAGTTCACTCCGATGCACTCCAACACATGTGGATTGAGGTAGATACATGATCCAAACAAGGTCTAAGTGTAGTATACATGTCCTGTTCACAGAAACTTCGATTCTGTTTTCTTTTTTACAAAAATTATTGGGTGTACAAGTGTATACCCATGTCCTTTACTGTATCTGCCCTTGTATTATGGATATTAACTTGGTTTTTTGCAAACATTATCGGGCATACATCCGTGTCCTGTACTGGGTCAACTCTTGCTGTGATGGCCAGGTTTTGAAATCAGGTTAGATCTGCACACGCGATGGAGACTGAGGCGGTCTCGAACGATTGCCTGTTGGGTCCTGTCACTCTCAAAAAGAGAAGCAGCATGAAATTGAAGAATAGGATGATGATGAAGATGAAAAGTCTCTCTTCCTTTCTCGACGAGGAGAAGGAGAAGTATGGCGAGGAAGATAACGAAATCATTATATTCCGTCAACACTGGGAAAGACGTTATGCCGATAGTTACGGTTCGTTTGAGAGCACTAGTAAGTCAATCAAACTCAGTCTAATTACATCTCAAATATTTAATAATATTGCCTATATTGATTTATTTAGTTGAGGGGTTTTCTAGTTTGATGTAAAGCTGACTTTATATTTCTATTATACAAATGGCATGTGCTATTTTCTATGTATATGTCGGGTCTAGCATGGTTAAACTTCTTTTTATCACATTGTGCTTGTGTTTCTGGGGTTCTCTACAAAATTTTCTTTTTGGCTAGAATATATTGTTGTATGCAGAATTAAACATCTGCCTTAAATATAAGCGATATGTGATGCACCTTTTCTATCAACGGACCCTTTAACTTATGGAATTCTTGTTGTAGCTGTTGTGCCCCCCATGCTCCATGCTCTACACATTTGGATCCATCCCAAAATATGCTATCCCAGACAATGGAATGCAGATTTTCTATGTTAAAGTCGCCCAGATCAAAGAGGAGGGTCTTGACTGGCCACTACATGTGTATGGCTTGATTGCCACCAGGGATTCTATCGATCCTAGACGCAATCTTATTTTCTACTGCACTAGGGATAACTGCCAAACTATAACTGAAGGGGTATGTGCCATCTAAGTTCCCTTTTCTGCTTCTCAGCTTTTTTTATTCTATTATATATATTTTGTTTTGTTCACCTCTGTATGTATTTTGCTTGTTAATAATTGTCGCACTTTTTTCTTTACATTTGAATTTGCAAGAAACAATTCAACCGATCGAGAATGCACACAAGCGCCCACCCATGATCTGATCCGACTACAATTTTTTTCCACCAGACTGCACGGACGTTGTGCCCACCATAGGCCGTGTTTTTTTCCCCAAGCCCTCGCCACTAGTTGGTTTTAATTTTAGGATGGGTGGACGACGTGGAGTGGGCCATGGCCGCTAAACAGGAGCGACCATGCAGTTTAGTTTTTCTTAGTGAATGTAAATATTGTTAGAGGTAGATAAGGCAACAAAAAGTAGTCAACTAGATTGTAAATATGTCCAGCGCATATACGAATTACAAAACAGATGCGTATTAATACACAGCATTCTAGTTAGTTGATGATATCCTAACAAGTATAGTGTACATTTCTTTATTCAGGGGAAAATATAATTGTTTCTGCCATGGGCCATGACATCAAGATTTACAATTACCTTTTTAAAAAATGACCTATAGTTTGAGTACTCATTTGTGAAAACAAAACAACTAGTCCAAAGGCATAAAAAGTAAATGAAGTGGTCTGATCACACAAAAAATAACATGTATGGGCACAAAAATTGATAGCTTGATCACAAATAATTCTAAGTGTGAGAAAAAGTTCTAAATAAATTTGTCCATTCACAAATAATATCATGCCCGAGCACAACAACAACAACAACAACAAAGCATTTAAGTCCCAAACAAGTTGGGGTAGGTTAGAGTTGAAACCTAGTAGAAGCAATCAAGGTTCAGGCACGTGAATAGCTGTTTTCCAAGCACTCCTATCTAAGGCTAATGGCTAAGTCTTTGGGTATATTCCATCCTTTCAAGTCTCCTTTTATTGTCTCTACCCAAGTCAACTTCGGTCTTCCTCTGCCTCTCTTCACGTTACTATCCTGGCTTAGGATTCCACTACGCACCGATGCCTCTGGAGGTCTAAGTTGGACATGTTCAAACCATCTCAACCGGTGTTGGACAAGTTTTTCTTCAATTGGTGCTACCCCTAATCTATCACGTATATCATCGTTCCAAACTCGATCCCTTCTTGTATGACCGCAAATCCAACGCAACATACGCATTTCCATGACACTTATCTGTTGAACATGTCGTCTTTTCGTAGGCCAACATTCTGCACCATACAACATAGCAGGTCTAATCGCCGCCCTATAAAACTTGCCTTTTAGCTTCTGTGGTACCCTTTTGTCACATAGGACACCAGATGCTTGGCGCCACTTCATCCACCCTGCTTTGATTCTATGGCTAACGTCTTCATCAATATCCCCGTCTCTATGTAGCATTGATCCTAAATATCGAAAGGTATCCTTCCTAAGCACTACTTGATCTTCCAAACTAATATCTTCCTCCTCCCGAGTAGTAGTGCCAAAGTCACATCTCATATACTCTGTTTTAGTTCTACTGAGTCTAAAACCTTTGGACTCCAAAGTCTTCCGCCATAACTCCAGTTTCTGATTCACTCCTGTCCGGCTTTCATCAACTAGCACTACATCGTCCGCGAAAAGCATACACCAAGGGATGTCCCCTTGTATGTCCCTTGTGACCTCATCCATCACTAAGGCAAACAGATAAGGGCTCAAAGCTGACCCTTGATGTAGTCCTATTCTAATCGGGAAGTCATCCGTGTCTTGCCCGTGCTGCAGTGGTGGCGTGGGAGCAGAGCGTGGTGCAGCAAGCGGCAGCGGCAGCATGTGGCCCGGTTGGCCCCCTGGCACCTAGGGTGTGGACCAGGCTGTGACAACCTAATTACAGTGGGGCTTAGGAACGGAACTGCTGCCACCCAGGGTTCCATAAAGTATCTCACATCATATGCTCTTATTAGTTTACTCTTTGTATGGTCTACCAATTTTTTTTGTTTGTTTTTTCTTGGAATAAACAAAACATCGCTAGTTAGAACTTTTTGTAAGAACTGGCAGGAGTGCTAATAAATTATTAGAGACGAGAGAGTTACCAATTGGTTAATAATTGATGGTGCTTGCAGGTTCCCTTTTTGCAGTTAACTGGCCCATCTCGTGCAGTTGTGTTAATTGATCCAGTCAGGTTTGAAGTCCAACTGAAATAAAAGGGCAGGACCGAGTCTGAAGATAAAGTGATCTGCTTCGATATCTTGAATACACAGCATGCTTCTGGCTATGTGGGATATTGTCCTCCTAGGATATTTACAAGTCATTTACACTTCAACCAAAGCAAAGTTGAGTTTGCATTTGCAGTACTTGCTCGATCAGTTGAGGCTACCATCCGTATTGAAATTGTTGATGGTGCTTGGCCAGAACATCTCGGGGGACATGTAACAGCTCGCACGGCTAGTATCCATCATGAGGGTATTGTACTTGCAGATTCTGGAGGTGGAAAACTGCCTGTCAGTGGTTCTGGTGTGATTGAGCTTTCAAGACGGGTTATTTGTGTTGAATTAAGTGGAGAACTGGAAGTTGATGTTGCGGCCTTTCGAGTTGTTCATAATATTTACTCAGATGCTGCAAAAGGTTCCGTTGTTTTCACACCTAAAAGGGCCGCAATCAGTTATGACACATGTGATCTAGGCTTCTGTAAGCTGGGAGTCACCGTTGCTTGGTCTCTTCTTGCACAAGTTGATGATATGCCATGGGGTCGCACTGCACGGGGCTGTAGCCTGTAGCCTGTAGAACGCCACTGTTTCATCCTCAAGTGCCTGTTCATCTGGACCTAATCTATTTAGCTTTTTTTGGTGGTTATAGGGACAAATAAAATTTCAGATGTATTGTTATATATATTATGTAGTTTGTAACGCTGCGTCGTGCTTGTCCTGCTGTGTGTCATTATGTAACATAACTTTAATCTGTTATCAGTGAGTGCTTAATTCCTTTTCACCATGGTTTGCTTGGGCATTCGTTCGGTCTAGTTCCATGCTGCATTTTTATCAGTGACTCGCACGGCTAGTTTTCATCTTGGGAGTTTTCATCGGCAGTGACGGCAATCTGTCCACGAGTCAAGACTGCCAATCAATGTTCGGTTGTGTTATAGCCGGTGCACAGGGACGTTTCGCGTGGTGCGATGCAAACTAGGCCTGTACATGGTGATGTATAAATACTTAGCATATTCCAGTTACCATCAGATGTCCACCATTAATTTTGAAATTGTGCAAAGGTGAAAGGTGAAAAAGGTACATCTAGAGAACCTGTCCAATCTTGTCAAACTTTCTTATTATGAAAAGGTTAATTGATTTTACAGATTATGCATTTGCAAGCATCGTCAGGGATTGTTCAGAGTTATTTTTGGTACTCCTATAAGCACAAATTGCCGGTTGATTATGTCACATGGTAAGTAGGTTGTATGGACGTGCACACCATTTGACATTCCAGAATTAATGTCGGTCTCTATGTACAAACGGTTTAACTATAGTCAAGAAAAAACACTCTCATCTTATGCAATCAGTTGCATGATATAGCTTTGTGTTCAATACCTGAACATCTCAGGTGCGCGAGTGCAGTCCCTTGTGGAGACCTTGGAGAAAGCAAGAAATGCAAACCGCTTCAGCGATCATAACAAAGCTGTTCAGTGACAACGTAGTGGGAGACGTTTGAGAACGGCATGTTGGCGTGGGCAGCTTGAACGTAGAAGGGACTAAACATCATTAGTGCACCTGAACAATGTCCAAAGAGCCCCTAATCAATGCATCCATCTCTGCTCACTCACCTGCTGGCTGCTCCTGTGCGCTGGCGTGTTCCCACGCTGGTGCGTCACTCGTTGGCCGCGCTGCTAGCCAGGTTAAAAATCATCAAATTTCATTTATTCAAAACTGTGTTCATGCAGTTCTACAATCTCTATTATTACAAATCATCAAAGTTACCTCCTATCATACAAACGATCGGCTATCTAATCCCTAGACTGATTTATATTTTGATCTTTATCGGCATGAGTAGTACTAGCTCCATTAGTTTGACTAGACGATGGTTCTTCCTGTGGATTGTAGTTTTTATTTTCATCACACCTCTTAAAGTTCCTATCCTTTTTATCATTCTCTCTTATGAAATTATGAAAGGCCATGTGTAAGCAAAATGGACCCTAAGCCTATTTACTTTGGATTTTGGTGTTTGATGACCAACACAATCAAATTGGACTAATGAATTTATAAGTAATTATTTTGTAGTTCAATAGGGTGCAAGACTTGACTTGGACGAAGGCGACATAATGATCCCATGATCAACACCACAAGCAAGACCCTAAAAGCACAAGAAAAGACCCAAGATATCAAGCATAGTCCAAGCACGAAGATGGGAACCAAGCCGGACATAAGATCGCGAAGAAACAAGCTCGGCAGAGATGACCGGACGCGGCCCTTATAGCGACCGGACGCGTACGATCGATAGTCCGAGACTGTGGCAAGCGTCAGCAGGCGACCGGACGCTGAAGAAGACACATGATCGGACGCACCGATGACACTGTTCATCATCACGGCAATGGTTTCAACGTGACCGGACACAGCTGCACTGGACGACCGGACGCAGGAACTGCAACGTCCGATCGAGTCCAGAGAGGTTCCAGAGCGGCTCCAGCGCGATCGGACGCGTCCCATCAACAGTGACCGGACTCAGCTCAGAGTCCGATCAACGCGTGTGCTCCAACGGTCGGGACGACCGGACGCATCCGATCATGACGAAAGCAGCGTCCGGTCAGTAGCAGAAAACTGAGTTTCGCCCCTAAAGGCTACTTTCTCAGTGGGGCTTATAAATAGACCCCCAACCGATCATTTGAGAAGAGGAGAGTTGAGGAAACATATCAAGGATATTGATACACCATTTTAGTGATCTCCACTTGTATAGTGCTTAGTGATTCATTAGGTGATTAGCGTAGGTGATTTGCGAAGTGCTTAGGTTGATTAGACCACTGCTTATGCGCTTGCTCTAGGTTTAGGCCTAATGTTTAGTGAGGTTTGCACACCTTTTATCACTCGGTGCTTGCGCGCACCATTGTTGTACATCGAAGGGGCTTGTAGTCTTGCGAGATCACACCAACCGCGTTTGTGGTGTGGCCGCCACCGTGTACCGAAGGGAACAAGGCCCACGGCGGTTGGGCCGGAAGCTTGATAGTGAAGACGGCGAGGAGCGGTCTGGGAGAGGCTTGCCGAAAGGCGCACCGGAGACCCACTTGCGCGTGGGGAAGGCCCGGGCTATCCACGGAGTTACTTGGCCGGGAGCTTAGCCCTTGCGAGGGATTCCTTACGAGGGGCTCCAACGAGAACTAGGGGAAAGCTTGCGCTTCTCGATACCTCGGTAAAAATACCAGAGTCGTCGACGAGAGTTTGCATATCTCTACCTTACTCTTTATCTTCCTTATTTACATTGTTTGCATAACTCCCTTTGTGATAGAGATAGCAACACACTAGTCAAAATCGTAGTTGCACATTTAGATAGTTTATCTTTTGCATATGTTTTGCTAAGAATAGAAAAAGAGGCCATAGTTTTGAGTTAGAGTTTTAAGTTGCCTAATTCATCCCCCCTCTTAGGCGTCACGGTCCCTTACACCATGCACGCGAGAATTATTTTGCTTTGCTTTGGCATCGGATAACTCGGTAAGTCCAATAAAATCTCCACTTCATCTTCAACAATCCAAATAATCGCTCGATGACATTTCGAAGTGAAGAATGTGCATAATTATAGAGCTCTTTTTTACCTCTTGGGGCGGGTCCTTGTCGATACTCCCGGACATGATACTTTGTACCCTTGTAGGGGACAAGATAACCCGGTCGATTTGGGTAACCCTAGTCAACAATATAGAACTTCCCTACATGGTTGCAATTTGTTGTAAGCCAAATGCAAAGTAAGAGCATTTAGATTAAACAAGAGGTAATAGGACAAATCAATACCTTCAGGTGGATGTGGAAACATGTCGCCATACTTGTCAATTGCATCTTTGAATACCCGCATGTCATGAACCGATCCAGGCTATCCCGCAACAGCAAATGTGAATCTCATATCAAAATCACAAAGGGCCAACATATTCTGACTAGTGTACCCATGTCTTCCCATATGAGGTACTACCTGATTTGTTGGCACCACTACCTTCACATGTGTTCCATCTAGTGCTCCAATGCACTGATCAAAGAAAGGAGCACACCTAGGAGATTGCAGCCTCTTATGCACAGCTCTAAATTCAGGGTCTTTTGGTCTAATTATATCAGCTGCTAGTTTACACACACAAGCCAACACCGTATCAAACTTCATACTAACTGTGCATATTGTCAGCTTGCCTAACTGATTGTTGCGATGCACACATCCATAAGAACATCCCTAAAGCTTCGATTCATGTCATCTTACATGTGGACTTCAATCCATATGAACTCTGAAGCACACTATAAAGCTTATCGAAGCACTCTTTCCTCATCCTAAACATTCTGTAGCAATATGTCCTATGGTCTAAGGTTCTTGTGACCCATTGGTAACCCGATTCTGCTGATACTCTACATTCAGATCTGTTCATGTGAAGCTCGTGGTGATACATACCTAGAGTGTAAGCAGCGACAACCATTTGTCGCCTCCTCTTTTGGGCTCTTATATAGTACTCTACCAATGCATCCTCTAGGTCAGAATTAGTTGACGATGAATCATCACTTAATGATAAAGATGAATCATCGTTGTCCTGTGAATCATCCTCAAAACCATGTGCGGCATTACCATCATAAACCTGAACACATCAATGAAGACCGAATCAATCACTGCCAAATCAATCATGAAGCAATCACAAAGCAATCAAACATCATCACAAGCCAAATCATTGAACTGAAATACGTAGGTTCAACACAAATGCATAGGTTCAACACAAATGCATAGGTTCAACTAAATGCATAGGTTCATCACACATACAGAAATGCACTTATCTAGCGCTTCTCTACACCATTCTGAACCCATTTCTATAGCCACACATATCTGTCCTCCAATGTATCAATTTCACAGAAGACCTGTCGATAATATTCTTCCTTAAACAAAGTTGTAGCAACGAAGAATTCATCTGATTCATTATCTACTCCACACTCCTTGACCATTGCCAAACATCTCCTAACATCTGCTTCTTTCTGCTCCTTTTTCTTCAACTTCCTAGCTTCCTTGAGCTCTTCTTTGCTGCTCCTAAACTGGGCCAGATTATCATTTGTAGCCTTCCTGTCCTCATCAAACTTTTCTATTATACTAGTGAACATAGTCTTCAGCAGTGGTTCCTTTTTCTTCTTTGATGGACTCTCACCAGAAGTAGATGTGCTTGTGTTGCCCCTCTTGCGGCTGGAACTACTCATTGGGTTGTTTTCAAAACCATCGGTATCAGTCCCTGCCGTAGCCCCTGCCTCCCATGGCTGCTCATATCCTTGTTCCTGACTTGCTTGTGCTGAAAACTGCATTGGGATGCAAGATGTAGAGCCATCTACCACTACAAATGGTAATGTTTTGATCAGACCAATTGGCCTTGTCAATTTTCTTCTAAAAAAGATGAAAAGAGGACATGACATATCAAAATAGCTTTCATCAATGATATAAAAACATGCAGTATACATTTATCATGTAACAAATAATATAAGCACAAAATGGTAATGTTTTCATCACATATCCATGCTACAGACAGCCAACCAACTAAATTATAAACTCATGATGCTATTCTACACACTAATAT